AGGAGTAAGGTTATTTCACGTCTTGCTGGCAGCCGCAGTGTGGGGGTTCGATTCCTAAGACATGAAATTGAACTCCTTGTAGGCGCAGTGTACAGGCAGCTCTTGATCCCTGGCCTATTGGGGCACATCCCGCGATTTACCTCCCTCACAAAGCTCTAGGCGTGGGGCGATGGGGGCCCTCAAGGTTGGGGTTCAACGCTTTTTTTTTTTTTTTTTTTTTAGTAAAGCAACATAGTGTGCTATACGATTTTGCATGTTGTGCCTTTTTGCTGTACTGATTGTAGATTGGATTTGCACTAGAAAAGAAATCTGTTATTTTCTTTTTGCTTTATAAGTATTGTGGTTGATATTTAAATAGATAAATTTGTTCTATTTTGAATAATTTAAACTTTTGGACAAGCTGTTACAATGTAGTATCAAAACGTGCGAAGGTTTTAGTTTTGCTGCCACTTATTGGTGAAACTATGCATTTGATGGAAAATTAACTTTGACGCGCACATGTTGGGATGTGTAGAAGAAAGGGGCTATGACCATATAGAATGTAGTATTTACGGTATTGAACAGGATAATGGTCGATATTATCACATGGTTTTTCTTATTTAATAGTATCGACTATTGTCTAATACTATCTTTAGTGTGAAATTTTGAAACAGGGTGATTTAACATAAACTTATGCATTTTTCACAGAATTGCTCCCCATTTAATGTATTTGTATATTCAAAACACAAGTAAACCATGCAAGAAGTTGGATAATAAAAATTAGAAAGAGCCGTGCTGCGTGCACAGTTCGGCACACAGTACGGCTCACAGCCCCCTTATATCAGGGGGCTCGCGTCCATAGCACAGTGAGAGGGCTGTACATGTACAGCAGCACAAACTGCTTCTTCCAATTAGAAAAGGAATGGGTGGAGAAAGGCATGTCAGCAGGTTTTACTTTTGAGAAAAAACAGAAGATAGGGGGAAAAGTGGTGGCCAGGGAGTTGAGTGAAAAGGACTTTTAACTGTGAAAAAAAAGTGTATCTTCGTGGGATTCTTTGCCTGCCAATGTCCAGGCATAGTGGTAGCCATCACACTATCAAGGACAAAGAAACATGATCATGTAAAATATTTCTTGATTTCAAATTAAAAGTTGGTACCCTTTTTTACTGCGGGCATGTTAAAGATGTAGTTGCTATAGATTTTTGAGTACACATGACATTTGTCTAATAGCTTAAGTTTTTCAGATGAGATAGTTAAAGTCCAGAAGATTTTAGTTTCAAGTTTCGTCTTCACCTATCTATGAAAAAAATTGTGTGCATCTTAGTCTTTGATTTTATTTACATCGAAGTCTTTCATTGGATGTACATGTGATGCAGCATGATGAAGACATAAATGGTCACAAATTTTTTTTTTTTTTTTTAAATCAACTTAAACTTTTAGATAATATTATAAACAACACATTTCTATGATATAGTTTCTAATTTAGCTCATGTTTGGTGGGGGTTAAAGTCAAATTTTTATTAAATTTTGATAAAAGTTTATGAAAATTCCGCAAAATATGTGATTAAAATTAGTTGTTAAAAAAAGTAAGTTTGCTCTAATTTATTTGTTGGTTTTGAAGTATCCAAAAGTGTTTGTGTAATATCATTTTGCTGTTTCTTATATGGATTTTTCTTCTCAAACAGGGCCAACGCCAGGCACCCTGCCAATAGGAGAAACAAAGCCATCGCTCTTCTTATATATGAAAAGATTGAGAACGCTCTTTTTGAATATAATGACCATACATTTATTGAATCATATATTGGACCAAAATGACCACACATTTATTGAATCATAGATTGAATATAATGATCCTACATTTATTGAATCATAGATTGGACCAAATTGTAGACATTTTGTGGACCCTACTTCTAGAACATATTGATTTTTCTATTTTCTATGGAAAAAATGGAGGTACAGGTGAAACACGCCCCTGTCAAGTGAGAGACGAGGTGGGGATGGACCCCACCTTTTTTTTTAATGCATGTGGGGCCCGACCCCTATAGTGAGGCCCCTGTGAACCGAGCTCCTATACTTGGAGCTCGGTCTTTTTTTCTATATTTTGAGATATGTTTTTACAAACATCATAGTTTTGCTAATTCTCGAGTCAGAATTGCAAGTCCTTTTTCAACTTTCAAAAGTAATTGTACGATCAATTTTATAACAAATACCATTCAAAATTCCGTTAATTTTTATATAGCCCCTTATACAATCAACTTCAAGAAAGGTAGAATTCTTAGTGTTTTATCTTGACAGATTCGCCTTCTTAAAGTTCGTCTTGTCAAGGTCAAGTGATGATTTAGCAGAATTTGGATTGTTTTTGTTGTTGGGGATCAACTTGCAACTTGGGTAATAAATTAAGGATCAATAATGCAATTTTCCCGAACTTCTTCGACTATCCATTTTATTTCAATTAGATAGTAATTAGAAGTTTAACTTCCATACTTTAACATCAACTTTTTGGTTTGGTATGCGTCCTTTTCATTAAAATTGTACACAATGTCGAAAAGAACTTATGTAGTCAATTCCAAATTTATCATAAATAAGACTTACGTGTAGTTATAGCTTTATTTTATTCAATCAAAATGTTTTGTTTCAATGAATACTTAATTCAATAAGGTGGATGATAGAAAATAAGAATATTAAAAAATATAATAATTTATATTATTCGATACTACGTATCAAAGAGAAATACAGTGACATGCCATGCCTTTAATAAGTGAGCAGAGAATTTAGAAACAAACACTTATAATTAAATAAGGACATTAAAGCTTTCTAATCAAATTACTAATGGATTCTCCGGTTTGTCTTACGTCAAGTTGTAATAAATAATATGGTCACTACCCAAAACCTTTCGTACGCACCCTTTTTCACTTTTTTTTTTTTTTTTTTTTTTTTTTTTTTTTTTTTTTTGTTTCTTTTTTTTTTTTTCTTTTATTTATCGGTATGTAATGTAAATTTTCAATTCTGTGACACTGGTTGAACATTGTGTGCTTGACGAGTGATTATTACCTTAATATGTTGTATTTGGGTCATTGCATGCCTGTGTGGGTTTCTTTTTTGCCCCCCCTTTTTTCCTTTTTTTTTTTTTTTTTTTTTGTCAAGGTGTCAGATTTCGACGACTATTCCTTGAGTCTCTAATCTAGCCCCTCTTTACACAGATCAGTTAAACCGCGGGATGTGCCTCCAACTGATCAGGGTCCAAGCACCTCTTCAATTGGACTGTCAAAGTGCCCAGTGAGCCAACCCATGTTGCGCCTTTGCCTTTCAAGCCACTCCTGCCTTCCAGGATAAATCATGCCTTTCAGTACCCTTTTTCACTTTTTCTTTCTATGTAATGACGATTAATTGAATAACAACATTGATAAAAAATTATATCTTATTCTCGATCAATTTTACAAGAATTCTATGCACAAATGATCTTTGGTCTCAAAAATTTAAGTCAATTACATCAAATTCTTTTTAACTCACTTCTTTAAAACAAAATTTGGTCTTATTTCGGTCAACTACATGAATTCTTCTAGATCAAAACAAATTCAATCTCATTCTCAATAAATTCAGTTGACAAACTTTCTTGATCCTCTCATTTTCCTATCCCACCACTCTTATCCTTTTTGTTTGTCTAGTCATGTCATTTGAAAAAATATAATCTTGTTGGTATTTGAAAACAAGAGATGGAATCCACTTTCAATTAGATAAGGCTCACCTTGTCTAACACTTGAAACGGGTAGTTAAGCCTCTTAATCACCGATTCAATTCACACATTTCTTTTCATACTTAGTGGATTGAAGGAAAAAGGTGTACATATAGGACAGCTATTTAATCCCAATTTGTTTTGTGATTATGATCGATCGGATTAGACAAGCGAGTACGTGTGATTATGAGAAAAGCACTATGTTTGTCAGGACTTTTGAAAAGTCTACAGTAAATTCTAAAAGTGTTTTTGAACATATTTATATAAAATTTTTGAAGTACTTTGTCTAGTGTTTTTGAACATATTTATATAAAATTTTTGAAGTACTTTGTCTAGCTCAAATTGAAAATTTATTAACGGACACTGACATAATACAACTTCCTTCTACAAGAAGTGAAAGACTGCGATGGAAGATGCTAAACAATGCATGTATAAGGAGCCATAGGCATTAGAGTTGCAGTTGAGAGTGAGAGAGAGAGAGAGCATGATTGGACCCTGTACGGAATCGAATTTAACGGTTCTTTTTAAGTTAAATACTCGAACGAATATTAGAATTTAGAATCGACGAATTTGATTCGATTTTCATTTCTAGATCAAGAATCGAATCTTTATAATTTTTTTAAATTTTATATATTAAACAAGCCGAATTATTTTAATTTATTCCTATTTCATTTATCAACTAATTAGTTGAGCCTAAAAATATCATTTTCATGATTTCAGCCTAAACCCATCTTTGCAATTCAAATTTCAAGTAATCAAAATTGAGTGATTTAAGTTTTTCTCAACTATTTTGTTGTTTCTCAAATAATCAAAGTTGAGCGACTGCGTCTCTCTTCATCTTACCTTTTTTTGCTCTATTCATTGAATTTCCTTCACCTTGATCAAGACAGTACGTATATAATGGTGAATGAGTCTTATTAGAAAGTTTGTTATTTATATATTTTTCAATTGAACTACATTATTTTGTAAGTGTTAATATAACGTCATTGTAAGAGCTAAAATTGAATGTCATTAATTGGATTAATGTAATGTTGTCGCAAATGTTAAAAAAATGTAATTATGGTACGAAATCGAACCAATAGTTCCATCATTAAATTTAGACCCAACGATTTCACTTACTAAATACTTGAAAATTTTAGTTCAATTCAATTCTCTTTATAATCGAACTAAACTGGACCATGTCCAACACTAAGAGAAAGATGTGATAGAATTGTTAAACAATAACCCGTTTGATAGAATTTTAAAAAGTCAAAAGCTAATTATGAGATTCAACTGTTGCTTTTGAACATTTTCGAATAATTATCTTCTTGATTGAAATGGGAGCTGATAATCAAGAAAACTAATAAAACCCAAAAATTCAATTTCCTAAATGCAGGTCGCATGTCAACTACTAACTCTTTTCACAGCGTACAGACAAAGAAGCCTTTTCTACATAACAATAAATTGTTCAGCAGTTCTTCAATCTCAACCAGAAACTCTTTCTCGAAAACAAAACAAAATAGAACAGGAGCAAAAACCTTGCTGGTGTGAGGTGGTTAGACCAATTGCAAGGAAAACATGGAGAATCATCGGTCAGCCATTTATCAGCATCAAAATTGAACCTGCAACTGCTTATCCTTTGACAGTTGGAGTGGTTCTTGCAATGCCGGATTAATAGGGAACAACACGCATTGTGCATATTGGGCCATTAACTGATCGACGAGCACCAAGGCTACCATGGCTTCCACCACTGGAACACCTGCATCATGACCAACCAATCATGAATATCCTATAGAGTCCAGTCTTCACCCTTTTTAGTTAATCCACTCTGTTGATCTAACTGTAGCATCCCGATTTTCTTTCTTTAAAATAACACGTTAATTGAGAAAAAAAAAATGAGGCGTTACACTGTTACAGTAACTATTTCTCAGATTCAACAAACTAAATCCAATTTAAGCTCATCACCTCCCATACATATGTTTGGCTAACTCTTATGTAGACTTTGTTTCCAAACGTGTTTGAATAAGTTGCTCTCTCAGAATCGGTAAAAAGCTTCCTTAATTTGAAAATACCTCTGGCCTTACTCCCAAAATAACTTATTCTCAGTTTTGATCGATAGAATTACTTGTTATGAAACTAACTTATTTTCCTGATAGTAAACCTTTTAAGCTTAGCTAAACAAGCTATTGCAATTATAGTCGTCTCTCATGGCCAAGCCTTATGCCCAGACAAACTCATTCCAACAGACAATAAATATTAGACTGCTACAACCAATACATTATGACTTCTATGCATGGAAATCATAAAGACATTACAATGCCCGTGGAAAAGATGAAATTTCATAAACAAACCTCGTGGAACGACACAAGGATCACGGCGACCACAGGCTATAAGCTCTGTTTCGCGTTTGTCTCTAGTCACAGTATTCTGCTTCCTCTGCATAAAATTAGAAATGATACAACAAAAGTGCTCATATCCACAAAAGTAAAGAAGTTCATTTATTATAGCTTTGTAAGCATTGTAGGTGCAATATTTCACGTAGCTGGAAACATCAAAACTTCCATTCAAGAGTTCATGCATCACTCGAAAGGGGGACTGCTAGGACAATGTTCAAGATGCCAAAAGATACAGAAAAAAGTTAAAAACTTGGGTAAGACCTGGTTGGAAGTTATAGAACATGTTTAGCTAAGCTTCAAAGTAAGTCAAAATTACTTCATAGTAAATTTTGTTTCCAATCGTGTTTGCATAAGTTACTTTTTCCTTACTTTTAAGTAAGAAGAGTTGCTTGTATTGAAACTAACTAGTACCCTAACAAGTAAATAATTTTTAAAATTTGACAAAAAAAATATTTATTTCACTCTTACAAGTAAACATTTTAGCTTAGCCAAACATGCTCCCAAACATTTCAATTTATTCATTCAGTTCTTGACTAGTCATGCAAATTTTATTTGGCAAAACTGTTTGGGAACACTGCAAACAATTTCTCAAGCAACCGGGTTTTAGCAAAACTATTAGATATTTTATATATGAGCCACTGAGATCAAATGGGAACTGTTGTAGACGTAGTAAACTACTAAGCACGGAACTCCTCTCAAGATGGTTTTTTCATCAAACAGAGAAGATAGCTATGTAATTTTCACTGCTACTAATTTATATGAACTTACAATAGAGCAAGTATTTTCTCGATTTCAGCTAGTCATCCAGAGAGAAACGAGAGCAAACCGGGATTTGTGTGCGCGCGCGCGCGCATGTGAATGTGTGTGTAGAGAGAGATAGGACATACTGATATGGTAGGCGTAGGCTTGAAAGCTATTCTCATATTAATGATTTCTCCATTTGATATTCCACCCTGCATATTGAAAAGTAATCATGCAAACCATTCAAACTGACAAAGATAACAAGGCATGCTATACCTATATTCATTGATATTATATCTAATTCAATTATTAATAAAGTGAAGTGAATACCTGTATCCCACCAGAGCGGTTGGTTTTTGTCCTGATTTTGCCATGCTCATCTATATAGAACTCATCATTATGTTCACTACCGGTCATAAATGTACCTGATGAATTTCCACGAAAAGAAATTAGATCTGGTAGAAATGTATGAGCGAGAAGTACTAAAATACCCAATTAAATTTATTAGCCGATAATCAGATATAGTTATAGATTACAATCCAGTAAGTTTCTCCACCTGCAAATCCACTGCCAAACTCAAATCCCATAGTTGCCGGTATTGACATAACGGCTTTTGCGAGCTCTGCTTCAAGTTTATCGAAGACAGGAGAACCAAGCCCCTTAAAGAATCAAATTAATATTCAGAAACTTTCCTGGAAATTCACAAATTCAAAGAATGTCGCACAGCCTCAAGTCTGATGCACATCCAGGGACGTAGACAGGTTGGTGTTAGGTTTACCAGTGGGACATTTCTAACAATGCAAGTGACAACACCACCAACAGAATCTCCTTTAACTCGGACAGCATCAATGGCAGAAATCATTTTCTCCGCATACTCAGGATTCGGGCACCTTACAATATTACTTTCTATCTGGAAACGTTAGGGTGGTAAGAGACTTTTTTCTACTTCAGAAGGGTTAAGAGAGTAATTCCACATACAACAATAGAAAATAAACTTCTACCCAAAACGAGAAAGGATTGGGGGACTATCTAAAAGTATAGGAAATAGTTACAAGAGCCATAACCAAGAAAAATATATCACCCTGACAATACCAACATTGAGTTCTTTTGATCATGTGAGCCCATCTCTGAAAGTCTTAACTCATTCCTAAGCTCCATTTCATAAGGGTCTAAATTCAAGCTCAGCACCAGACTAAATAAAGTACATCCTTTTCTCATAAGTGTTGCATCTATGATGCCAAAGAAGAATAAATTAGGCAAGTAGTCACATGCAAACAAATTCTTTGCTTTGCATGCCATTATCCACTAATTGGCTAAACCCCTGTTTGGTAGAGATTTTTTGAGAATAAATTTTGTGAAAAGTAGATATGCTACCACACAAGGAAGCCAATAGTATTGTAAACTAAAAGTTTGAGCAACTAGGAGAAAAGTGCACAGTGCACATATAAAGACCATAAGACTGATGGCATGCTGATGAAAATGTGATTCTACAAGTATGAGTACCTGGTCGGGCGTCATCGTTTCATGATCAACCAAATCTTCAGGAAGGACAAGATTGTGTACTTGAGAAACATATGCTATAATCTGCCACACAAGCATCAGGAAATAGAAGAAATATCATGACCAAGTCCATGAGTGTTACTTTTATCTTCTGCAAGTTTGTCTTGAATATAATTAGATGTGGACAAAAGGAATTTAACATAACAAAGAAGGCGGTAGATATCTCGGCACCTTATACTAATTCACACTCTTCTTAGCAGAGTAAAAGATACACTCCCAGATCCAATTAACAAAATGCTAGCTATAACTTGTTGCTGCTTTATGTCATCATAGCAACAATCAAATAAACCCAGTATGACTAACAATTTCTTTGAAGAATAATACTTGGAATGCATATAGGCATCCCTGAAAGTGACAGCTTCAACTACGCTGAAATGTGGGTATGAGATGTATAAGCATGTGCTACATCTTAATAATAGCAGTATCAAACTAACTTCATGCAATCATTTAGCTTACTTCGGTTCCTGAATATTGTTTCAAAATTTTCTTAGCAACTGCTCCAGCGGCAACTCTTCCAATGGTTTCTCTCGCTGAAGATCTACCGCCACCCTGCATTTTTAGAGAAAAACCAACCATACAATGAAGTTAAAATAAAACAAGACAACTTTCTGTTGAGCTGATTCACCGACATATTAACTTTTCAAAAACATTGTGACAAGCTGCAAATGCTCTCATATTAATGGAGTCTTAAAGTGTTTATACCTGTACTGATCTCACGCCATACTTAAAACCATAAGTTGCAACAGCATGAGAAGGCCTATAAGCTAATAACATCTCACTGTAATCCTGTGAAAATCCCAATAACATATCAATGAGGTCAAAAGGTAAAAAAGAGGAAAAGGACATGGACATAAAAGACAATTAAGCAAGAATGAAACTTTGCCTATGACAATTTCAGATACTTAACTCTTACGCCAGACTTGCAATGGAAACAAGATAAATGAGAACTAAAAGAAAATGATTAATAACATTCACCAAGATATAAATTGTTAACTTTTTAGCACTTAAAATCTTCTGATGAAGGCACTTATACAGAGATCTGTCAATTTAAAGACAGTGAGACATCATGCCTGATTTGATCAATCTATACACAATAATTCAAAGCCCCATAAATGAAGACTCCATCAGAAACAAATTTATCAAAACAAATCATATTGCAAAGAATAGTATTTCACTGTGTATTAAACAACTAAGAAGCATATGTTAGACATCAAGAAAAATTATATGAGCTCAATCCAGATCATAAAAGATAAAACACAGAGTTAAGAATGTGAGGACTATGAAATTGACGTTCTAAATTATGTACGTTCAATTGCTTAATCAAACATCCAAGAAGTTCAAACAACAAAAACCTGGTATTCCACAGGTATAACACCAGCCGACCTATTCACCGCTTCTTTAGAAAGTTTCTTTTCCATTTCCCCCTTTAAGCCACGAACCAAACAAGAGGAAAACTTGTGAATCTTACATCTCCTCTCTGATCTGTGTTAGGTACTTCTATCTTGATAGGAGATCCAGTAGTAAGCCCTACAGTTAATATATAATGAATCATTCCACTTAAAGAAGACTACAAACAGCGCATGTGCAACTGAATCAAAGCATAATGAATATAGGAGTTTCAGAACTATAAACTAACCATCCGCTGTTCCCGATGCTATTTTGCACGTATCAGTTTCTTCTCTAGAGCTGGTGATTCGGCTTTGACCTGGCCTCCTAGATGAACAATTGGTTGTAAATTTATGATGAAAATGCAGAGATGAATGGTAACACCACCGGGAACGAAAACCTAGTAGCTTAGAACAAAAATACCTTCTGTCCAGATCTACTAGCATATCAGCTTCTGAGAGCGGAAGTCTAGGAGGGCACCCAGCAATTACACAGCCTACGCCACCACCATGAGATTCTCCAAATGTGGTAACACAGAAATAAGTCCCAAATGTGCTACCAGAGGCCTGTATCTCTGTGAGCAAGAGAGAACCATTTGAATTGCAACACTCGAGCATACGATAAGCTTCGGTTTCATCTTAAAGGATGAACTGATTTATCTTTAAATCGGCGTAGATGAATTTATCCCTGATTATGCATCCGCGAGGAGGAGGCATCTGATTTCATTTTGGAGCTGTAGAAGATCAAATTGGTAATGAAGATTTGAAATTGCATAAAAATCAAGCATATTACAAGGAGTGGCTCAATTCTTTATACGTTGATCAGATATTTAGCCCCTATCACATAAGTTATATCAAAACTTCTTTTTTCTTAAAAGAAAAATTATTTTCAACCACAAATTTGAATAAAATATTTTAAGCATAAATTTGGGAAGGTATATTCAATTGAGATTTTTAATAATTTTTATGGATTTAAAAAGTTTAGAAGCATTCAATTGAGACTTGTATTCAATTGAGACTTTTAAAGAGTCTTTAAGGAAGTGTATTCAATTGAAATTTTTAATGACTTTTTGAGATTTGAAAAGTTTAGGGGCATTCAATTAAGACTTTTGAGACTCTTTAAAAGTTACGGCGTATTCAATCTTTTTTTCCTTTAATCTTCTATGGACATGTATGATTATAATTTACTTTTTTCTATTGATTATATTCAATTTATCTTTATTTCTCTCTTATCTTTAGTTTCTATGAAAAAATTAAATTGGATTCTTGTAACTTTTTTCCTCCTTTTTTTCATTCAATTTTTTGGGAGAAATGTCTATTTTTTATTAAATTATAAAATTTTATATGAAAAATTTATAATTAAATTTACATAGATTGATTTTTATTTATTTTTAAAAGTATACTGTACTAATAATATTGAATCATATATATGAGGTCTTAAATTTTTATATTTTCAAATTTTTTTTATTATATAAGAAGAAAAATGGGAATTGTGGGAATCAACACCTATGTGAGAATTTCACACCAAATCTACATGAATTCTATTTCAAATGAAAATCCTCAAAAGTCTTTTGAATTTCACAAAAGTCTATAAAAATTTTAAAATGAAAATTCATAGAAGCCTACAAAAGACTTCCACTAATTTCATACAAATCTATAAATGATCCACGAAATCCACAAAAGTCATCACTTAAAAAAAGTCCATCAAAATTTTCAAAAGTCTCAATTGAATACACCCCTAAAAGTCACGGTGTATTCAATTGAGACTTTTATATACTTTTAAAAAGTTTCTAAAAGTTACGGCATATTCAATTAAACCTTTTCAGAAATCTCTATAAATTTTGGAATATTCAAATTTTAATAACTTCGAGAGATTTTTATAAATATTTCTGTAGTACTAACTTTTAAACATAAAGTGCTAATATAAAATCTTAAAATTTGTTTTTCATTAATCACGAGATTTTGGGAGACTTTCATAAAATAAAAAAAATAAAAAAAATCTTTCTTTCCTTTTTCTTTCTATGGATAGGTATGGCTAAATTTTTTTTATTGATTATATTTATTTTTATTTGTCTCTCTCTCTATGAAAAAATAAATTGGATTCTTATAAGTTTTTCTTCTTTTTTCATTCATTTTTTGTGAAAAATATCTATTTTTTATTAAATTATAAAATTTTATGTGAAAATTTTATAATTAAAATTAAATATATTGATTTTTATTTATTTTTAAAGACACATTATATTAATAATATTGAATATTAAATTTATTGTTTATCATACATATGTATAATTTTGATTATTATTTATTTAATTAAAGTCTTAAATTTTTATTCTTTTAATTTAGTTTAATTTTATTTTTTGTTATATGGGAAGGAAAAAGGGAATTTAGGGAACCAACACCTAGCGTGCAAGAATTTCACACCATTATACTGGATCCACATGAATTCTGTTTCAAATGAAAGTCTTCAAAAATCTTTTGAATTCTACAAAAGTCTATAAAAATTTTAAAATGAAAGTTCATAAAAGTCTACGAAAGACTTCCACTAATTCTATGTAAATTTATAAAAGATCTACGAAATTCACAGAAATCATTATTTAAAAAAAGTCTACCAAAGTCTTCAAAAATCCTAATTGAATGCACCCCCCAAATCTTTCTCTTAATTTTTAATTACACATTCTCCAAAATTATCATTCTGAGTGCTTGTTTGGTAGAAATTTTGATAATTGATTTTTTAACCATTAAATATAAAGTGAGTCCTACTTATGAGAGAAGAATTCAAAAATGACGATTGAAATAATGAAATAACGATCAAAAAATTGATTTTAATTGGCTTCAATTCTATACCAAACAAGCACTAAAACTCATTTTCCAAAATAATAATAATAATAAATAAATAAATAAAATCATTTTAATGGATGTCAAACAAGGACGTAGCCATGTTTGAGAACATTCCCCCCAAATTATTTTTCTTCAAATTCATTTTCAATCACATTTTATGAAATTCATAATAATAATAATAATAAATAAATAAATAAAATCATTTTAATGGATGTCAAACAAGGACGTAGCCATGTTTGAGAACATTCCCCCCAAATTATTTTTCTTCAAATTCATTTTCAATCACATTTTATGAAATTCATAATTATCAACATTTTAATTACATATTTCATCAATTTGATCTGTTAAAAATTTATTTTTTTATCAAAATTAAACGGCGACTTAACGAATCTAGGATTTATGCTTAACATACATAATGAATAGTTGATGACAAATGCTCCTTGACCTTTCTAGGAAGTCTCACGTGTTATTAAGTCCTTGTTTGATTCTCAATTCTTTTTGAAAACTTCTTTTATATATATATTTTATTTATTTATTTTCAGCCACACATTGTTTCACAAAATAGTTTTATATTTCTCCAAAATGGACTCAAATAGGGGCTAAAGTTAAAAAATATATATATAAATGCCAGAACTTCTAAAAATTAATAGCATTGAGAGTTAATTTTCTTGCTAGTTGAACATTATTCTCTAAAATAGATAAAATATGAATTATTGCCAGGTGAGAAAAAACCTGGTTACCAGAAAAATTCAACCACACATACTATGCTCATGGCTATTCAGTTTTAGTATTTCTTAAACTTTCATGCTCCTACTAGATAGGGAGGACTCACTAACGGATCCAGAATAAAAGGTGAGCACGGAAGACCGATCAAACAGCCACCCAATATAAGGGGAATTTTTTTTTTTCAAACGGATTCAATATGAGCGGCCGTTGATGCTCGTTGGGTGTTGGATTTGCCAATGGTCAGACTTGAGATGAGAGAAGTGAGGCGCTCTCTTCAATCCAAAATCAAAGGGGTCCAAAAATTCTAGTATTTAAAAAAAAAAAAAGTTAGATATTAAACTTTATGATGTTCGTTAAATATCGACAAAGTACTTATGGTACAGTGATGACTGTTAAATATTTCAATTTTGCTGCAATAACAGAGTCAATGACAAAATGGAGTCAATATATGATTTAACAGTTTGAAAAAAAGCACATAACACCTAGTTCCACCCCACCACAACACCCTATCACCCCACCTCCCGTCATTAACCCCAGCCAAGGAGCATTATTCTAAATATTTTACCCATGTGTACAAGGGTCGAGGGGGGAACAGCCCCATAACTGCCTTAAGCACATTTCATTTTTTATGGGTGAACTACAAAATAAGCCCTTGTTTGAGCCCTATTTTGAGTAGAAAATGCATTTTTAAATAGTAAATTTTGAGAACGTGTGGTTAAAAATGAAGAAATTTTTTTTGATTTACGTGTAATATTATTTTATTCGACAATTTGTGGTTAAAAATGAATATTGGAAAAACTTAAAAAAAATGAGACTCAAACAACCAATAAATTTTTATCTCCTACACCCTACACATACATGTGTAGGATTTCCCAACCATCTCAATGCTTTTTCACTAAATTTTTGAAACTTTTGCACAACTAGTTCTTAATCTGTAGCACCTCTTAAAAATATTATTCAACCTTTAAAATAAACATTTCAAATCTCAATCTTTAGCTCCTGTTTGGCCCTCATTAAATTACATTCTCTTTTTCTTTCTCATATTTTCAACCACAAAATCTTCTATAAAATAATATTACATGTAAATCGAAAAATTTTCCTTCTTTTTCAACCACTCATTTTTAAAAAAACACTATTCCACATATTTTTATTTCTAAAAAATGGGGGTCAAATGAGGGCTTAGTTCCATTTATATATCTTGACTTTTTAATATTATTTTTGTAGCCATTAACTTTCTCAAGCGAATATAAAAGTTATTTTTATGCGATTGTGCTACATATATATATAATGGTATACATATACGTGTATGGTGAGATATTAATTGAATCAAAATTTCTTCAATCAAATAAAAAAATCTTTTTCATTCACACACACACACACACATATATATAAAGAGTAATGTTATTTGCAGTTGCCCTATGTGACATTCTACGTAGCGATATACTGGCATTAGTCTTTAATTACATGGATTAAAAAAAAATAAATAAATAAAAATAGGTTAGCCTTTCATCCTCCATTCATGCATTACTTTCTTCCCAAAAACCTCTCAACCCATGTCTTTCCACACCCCCTCTCCCAAATCAATGGATTCTCCCCCCATCGGCCAAAGATCACCCACCCATTCAGAATATTGGTCGTCGATGTGTTTCGATAGTTGGTTGCCTGTGTTCTAATCAACAAGAGATTGGTGTTCTAATGAAATTTTATCCTTCAATATAAACGAATTTAATGGTTCAAATTTTTTAATTTTTAATTTTTTTTTAATTTTTTGAAATATACAAAAATTCAGAAACCCACTCCACTTCACTTCATCCCACGCACCCACAACCTCCTATGGAGATCCACCAAGATCTGTCATGCCATCTCCCCCTCTCTGTACGTATATAAACTATTCATTGTTTGATTCATATTATTTGGAAAAAATATATTTTTAAATAGTGATTTGACATTATTTCTATCACATTTTTCAATAAAATAATATTACATGCAAATTTAAAATTTTTCCTTATTTTTTAAATATACATTTCTCATATTACACTATTTAAAATGCATTTTTATAAAAGTAATGTAGCTCAAACAAGGTCTATATGTATATAAATTCATGAAAGAAATCATACAATTTGCTCCTATTCATTTGTCTAAAATCCCCACGCAGTTTCAGAAATGGCCCCACGCAAATACCCTTATCCCTATCCCTCCTAAATCTTCTTACTCCCAATTTGGCATGGCGTTTTTACCATTGGGGCTGTGGAAGGCAAGTTTGAT